AGCGTTTAATTCACTGTCGTTAAATTATTATTTATAGAAAACTAATATATGACTGTGGATTTTTTTGTATATCTATCTATACATACATATCTATCTATCTATACATTTCATTATAGTATTTTTTTTCCTCACCTTACAATTATGGCGCCACTAAACCATAGCAAAGTTTTCTGTTTTTTATTATTTTGCTTTTTATATTTTATTTTAATCAATTTTATTGTGAAAAATGAGATTATGAGGCGTGCACTTTTGGATTTTCCAAACTTTTTTGTTTCTTCGTTTGTTGTTTTGCCCTCTATTAAATGAAAAAAGTAAGTTAGTAAATACATATGAACTTTGTAGTTTCATTTACAGAAAAATAGAATTTGAATTGACCCAAAAAAATTTTGAAGAAGACCAAAATTATTTTGGAGCAAGAACAAATTTTCTTGAGCCAAGAAAATTTACTCTCGAGTCAAGTATTTTTTCTTTCTGTATACAATTCATGAAATAGTGATAGTTTTTTTGACAAAAAAAAAAAGACAAAGTTTATTTATCAGATTGAAGTAACGTTCGCTATAAGAAAGTGGTAAAAGACAAGCTGTTGGAAAATGGGAAAAAGTATATATACTATATACCATATATACTAACATTTTAGAGTAATAGCCGGTATAGCAGTAATAAAAGTAAGGTTAGGAATATGAGCATGCATACAAATATATGGCAGAAGTATGAGTCCACAGATGTGGGGATAAAATCGGTAAGGTTGTAGATGGTTGCGAGTTTAGTCTACTAGTTTGAACCCAGAGAATCACTGAGAAAATAAATAAGAGAAAGTGAGATAGATAGTTTGAGATCTAATATAAGAGAAGGCGAGTCTTTTAGCGAGCATCGTGTATACGCCATTTCCCTCGGGCTACTAACTTTCGTAATAGCATTCCGTTTATATTTTCACGTCGAACTTCGGCTGTCTTCCATGAAAAACTTTCTAATAATTTAAGACAAGTCCTTGTGGTCGAAGATTTATATACGGGTAAATCATCGCAATTTTTTTTTGTTCCATTATTATGACGATGTTTAAACAAACATTACACTGAAAATGCGTTATTATCTTTTGTATCTAGCTATCTTTTGCACGGCATCTAAACGGTAACGAGTAATTTTATTGTTAGCTCTGAAGAATAAGTTAACAAAGAGCCCGATTCTACGTTTAGACCTTTTATGACTGACTTTTATTCTGAAAAAACTCTTATTTTACTCACGTAAAAGTGCTAAACAAAGAAGCATTAACTGAGTTGTTATAATGTTAGTACCCATCATAAGTTAATTAATAAAACATAAATTAATTATCAACATTACTAGTTACACTATATTATTGATTTATCTTGCTGTTTAACGAGCTTGACCGTCTCTGTCCGTTATTTAATTTTCGGTAGCAAGTTGGAGCTTGATCACGAAGTGGGTCATCTGTTATTAGTTAGATAATTTGTTTGATTAATTACTACCTTGAATTTGAAGCTTTTTTTTCTATCGAATATATCTTACACTAAAACAAAATAGTAATGAAAAATGGTACACTCCCTCAAACGGTTTCGCGTTATGAGATGTGCAATGAAAAAGTAATCGTTATGTTAGTAGATTAAAGCTGATTACTTTTATTTTAATTTTCACTTTTCTTAAACGAAAACTACATTCAATGAAGAATATTTTATTTTGTAATCAATGAATCCGCAAAAAGAAACTTATCGTAGTACAAAATCATTTCAAGTCGAAAAGTAATATTTATAATTAAAGTTACTCTTTTGCGAAAATGAAGTAGGTAGCTGGTTAACAGTAGTCAGTTTATACAAGGAGGGATCTTGACTAAGAAAATAAAGAAGAGTGGGAAGAGAATTGAAGTTATGTTTTGTCTCGAAAAGGATCATAACAGTATAAAATGTGGAAAAAAATTACAAGTACAAAGTAAAAAGAAAATTGTTATTTTAGAAAGAATTAAAGTCCAATTTTTTAAATGAAAATAAATTTTTGTAAATTATAATAGTTAGTGTATCATTACTTGATTAAAAAATTAAAATTTATATATACGCATCATGAACCGCTGTAATTTTCGTTAGGTATTGTTTGCAAGAGAATGAATATTGATTGAAGTTAAAGATATGTCTTGGTAGTAATAGTACTTAATTATTGTGAACTAATCATAATAGTAATTATTTCAAGTAAAAAATTATAACCTTGATGGTTTACAAATACAATGTATGAAAATAGATTTAGTAAAATGATATATTATCTTTTTTAATGTTAATTATTAAAGTTTAAACTAATCAAATTACTTTTCTTATGTATGGAGATTGAAATTCACTTTAGCAAGAATAAGCGCTGATGTTTTTTAGTGGTCACGCGACTGTTAAAAATATTTCGTGCTAGGGTTTCGTCACGTAACCAAAGAAGTGTATATAACTTGACAATAATTTCTTAAAGCAACGATGGCTTTTCAAAACAAGTTAGACGTGTAATCAAATAATTTATGTCTTAAGTAATATCTTAAACTTGCCTGAATTTATTCCAAGTTTATTTTTATATGAATTATCGTAATAAATACTGATAGCAGGTAAACAGTGAATCATCATGCGAATTCATTATATTACTGATATCTGCATTTGTGTGATGCGCTGAACAGATAAAAAATATTTAACTACAACAATACAAAGAATGGACGATAAGTATAATAAGTAAACAAGTTCTAGTTCTATTATTACTTTATAAAAATAAATTACCGATAATAGAAATGATCAAAATAATGAATAATGAATTAGTATTGAAAGTTATCGAGTTATTTATTATTTGTGCTATTGATTTACTACTGATTGGTCGACATTTTCTGATATCAATCAAAATAACAGAATAGAATATGTGAGTAAAATATATAGTTACATGTTTACGCGCAGCGGATCAGCGGTTACCGTTCCGGTTTAGTAAACGAAAAGGTGATTTTAGTTTGCTTTACGTCAATGTCATGATTGTGCTAAAATACCTAACACGACCATAAATAATTTACAAACTTTTGTACTTTTGCTAAGCTTTAATATAAATCTCCAAAACTAATAAAATGACATAACGGGTATATAATCATAGAAAACTACGTTTTAAGTAGATAGTTTAAGTAGTAAGTAGAGCGAATGTGTTATTCAAATTGTCCAAATCAAGTAATTTATGGTACTAATAAAATAGTTTTATACTTGAGAAAGATTATCGATCAGTTCCAGGGTTTTTTAACTTTATTCTTAAATTAAAAAAAAAAATGGACTATTATAAAAAAAAAATGTGTCGTAATACGTTCACTTTTTTAAAAATTTTTAAAGAAAATCTAATAAACTAATAAACTTTTAGTGGAAAGTTTTAATAATCGGTTCATAAGCAAAATAATAAATTGTCAATTAAAGTTTTTGAGTAATTACTTATTAAAACAAATATTACCAAGCATTTAATAATTCAATTAGAGCAACGCATTTAACTGTGAATAATATTTATGCAATTGGTTAATATTTGAGTTACAATTTAAAAGTAATGAGAAATTTTATTTAAAAAAAGTATATATAGAATATTATTTTTCGTAGAAATTCATATACTTAAATTTTTGAAAACAGGCATTGAAAAGCAGTATTTGCAGAGCTAATTATGACTGCATTCGATGTTACGATTATGTATATTTAAATATATGACCACTTTAGAATAGTAGTTGAGATTAGATTTACTGATCCAGCGATGTACAGTCTCGTTGCGCACGATATACTTAATGATTGCGTCAAGAGTAGTAGTATAGTTAATGATGATTTTCAATTCGGTCTGCTCTACTGTAGGCGAACCAGTAAATTAGGATTTATTTAACGTAATATTAAAAGGTGGAACTTAATATTAAGTATATTATACTATTTTCCCACATAATTGTGACCATCAAATTTTTAATTACTTTTCATAGATAAAAATATCTTTATTCCTTTCTTTGTTTCAGAAATTCCGGTAATCGATCGAGAAGTAAGAAAAACAGCACATGAATTGAACAAAGAAGAAATCAAGGAGATGTTTGAAATTTTAAAGTAATTTGTAATTTTTATCTCATATGCTTAGAGCGTGTTAATACTCATTCAAGTGGAAGATTTAACGCTATTTTTTTTTTTTTCTTTAACTCATATATTTTTAGTTGAATCACTAACACATTCTCATTTTTCAATTAAATTTGATTGACTATTGCCTTGTTGAATCATCTCAGATCAATGTTTTTTTATTTGTTTTTTTTTTTTTTTATATTTAAATACTTAAAATGAAAGTATTGATTTTAATGCTGGCGATGATTTTTAGATAGTTAAAAATTTTCAGATCCCTTTCAAGTACAAGATGAGAGATTACGAGATGTCAATTTGGCCCGAGTTCACCGCCTCTTCAAAAAGTGGCTTGACATGTTGGCAAGCTCAGATTATCGGGAGAATAGTAAGGAGGCAAGAAAACAAAAGTGCAATTCAACTAAGTGCAAAAGTCAAGGCAACAGGTGAGTTATCTATAAAGATTCTAAACTCGTTTTAAGTCTTAACTTTTTTTTATAACTTGTAATTAGAGTCCTTAAAAATTATTTTTGTGTTTTTTTTTTTTTCTACTGCAGAAATGATACAAGCTTGAGTTCATCGAAATGTTCAGATTATAGGAGTTATTATAATTACTACCGCAAAAGCCGCAAACGCTATTTTAAAAGCCATAAAACAGAAAATTTGATCGTAGAAAGTCCAACTTCACATAAATCACATCCTTCTTTCCACGAAGACAATCTCAATGAATTTTTGGATAGTCTGATCTTTGACTCTACTATTGATAATCGTTTGCAGTTTTTGTTTTTTGAGAAAACTAAATCCACTCTGGATTCAAACTACATGAACATTAAGTCAAAAGTTAACGTGACTAATAAAAGTGACAAGATGATATTCGCGTACTCATCTATCGAAGCATTGGACGATGCTGAAGAAACTAACAGTCGTCCTGTTAAAATTAAAGGCGCTAAACAAAAACAGTTGGGAACAGACGATCAGGATTCAGATACTAAAAAATATGGTAAAAGCCCAAAATTTGACGACAAGCTAGACAACGCAAGCTTTTTCAATGCCAGTCGCGATCGTCAACTAACACAGAATCCACCAAAGGTCACAATGTTCGGAAGTACAGATTCTCAAAACTGGAAAAATCAAGATATTTATACAGAAGATAATTCAAATAGTGAAAACAATTATGATGGAATAGTATTTAATACTTTAGAAGGTTTTGTTCCTAAATCTAGTACTTCAGATAATTCATATTTTTTCGACCAACCGGGACCTAGTGATAAAAAACCTCACAAAGATCAATCTATCTTTTCTAATAACTGTATTAACGATCAAAATATCTTTATGAGCAATAACAATATACCTATGACACAAGAATTTATTTCAGAAAATATTAGTGAAAAGTTTAATTTTGAAAATGGTTATCCTATTGGTGAGAAAGAATATTTACAAGGTGAAGATATGTCTATGAAAAATGATAAAATGCTTGAAAAAGTTGAATTCACACCTGGAGACGTAGGAAGAATGTTAAACATGGGAAATGCTTTAGACTTTCCTCGGACTCAATCAACAGATGATTTAAAACTTGTCAAGATGCATCTTCCAATTATTCTCCGACTTACTATTAACTGTCCATTTAAAAATGTGCGAGTTAAATGTATTGAAATCCTTCAAATAATGAAGGTTAGTTTATTATAATAATAAAAAAAAAAAATACTATCAATATATTCGAAACACTATAAAACGTACTTATTCATATTTCAAAATATGTTAGATAGCCGTACAAGATTTATTTAGCAATGATAAAATTGAAAGGATTTACTTATGATAATTCTCCTAGAAAATGAACGAGTAAAATTAGAATTGTCATACTGTGATTTATCATTAAGTAGTTATTTGAGTTGAATGCTAGATTTTTTAAAATAAAATTGTACGACTCCAGAATAAATAATATCTGTAGCTTTGTTAGGTATGTGCTATTCGTTGGCTCAAGATACATACGAAATAGGAAGATTCAAGAGGTATTTTTATCTTAAGCTATTTCACTTGGCACATCTTATAAGTTGAAATAACTTAACGGTCAAAAATTTACTTAGATATCTTGAAATTCACTACCGGCTTTAGTTAATTCGTGATAAATATCTCCGACCATCAAGCAATCTTAAATATAAAGTCATAAATAGTATAATCTACGTTTAAATATTTCATATCTTTTAAGGGTAAAAAATGTTGACAAATACCAATTGTTTATTACAATTATTTTTAATGATATGAATTATTAAGTTTTTAGTTCCATTATCACTACGCCTAACGTTAACCTAGTTAAAGTATTGAGTGTTAAAAATGATTGAAAAACAAGCTTAAAATAACAATATACTTTGATGCAAAATGAATAAAATTATACTTTCATTTCAGGAGCGAGAATTGTCAATTCCAATACCGATATATAATGGACCTAGTGCATTTATTCCCAGTTCAGAGGTGAGTTTTTAATTTTTTATATGTTAATAAAAAAAGAGCGATTATTCGAAATTTATTGCTTAATTTTTTAACTTAGATGATCAAAAAATAAAATTTTGATTCGATGCGTAATCTTGCATAATTTTGCATAGTAACTCGTTGCCAATAATGGTTTTATTTTTTTAAATATAAGTACTTCATGTTGATAGAAAGATGAAGAAATTATTTTATCCTACTTTGTTACTTTAAAAAAAAATTAATACTACTTTAATTAGATGTTATGCTGCAACTTTATCAGGGAAAATGAATTAATTATTGATTTCGATACAAGAAACACAATGAATATTTAATTCGTAACTAATTTCCGCATGTAAATGTCGATTTTTTGTTAAACGAATGCATGTAATGTCAGTGTTAAAAGTTTTGAAAGACAGTCGGTGTAGTCAGTTGAAAGTATTAATATAAGAAACAAGTTTCATCGTAATAAATTCTATAGTTTTTTTACACTTCAATTATTGATTTCAATCAGTTAATAATTATTAGTTTCATATGTTCGAATTGTATTGATAATCACAGGAATCTCGCTTACCAACTGTAGAACAATTTAGTGTATATGCGAACTTTCAGCAGATTAAAGCGACTATCTGTTTTAAAATCTTTTTTATTCATTTTAAAAAAATATGACTTATTAATATAAATTTTATTAATAATAATTCTTTCAATCTGCTCTATGTCAGAAAATCGAACATACAATGACGACTGAAACTTGCTTTTATATTAATGCAAGAAAAATCCTCAGTATCTATGAAAGATTTTTGTGCTTTTAAGTAATAATATCTCCATTTTTCTTAAATTTTGTTTTATTTTTGATCATTTTTGTAATTTATAATATTGTTTTTCATAAAAAAAAACTTGAACTGTTTATATCAATTTGATATTTTGATTTAGGCTACAAAAACAAAAACCTTTTTAAAAGTAATTTTTATAAAATTAAATAGTCGGTTAAATTTTGTTAAAAATATTTGATTAATGTTTCAAATATAATACATTTTTTAACAAAGTGTGGTAAAATATAGTTATTTTGCATCCGACTGTAAGAGTTAACGGAAGAATTTACTCCCATAGAAGATCGAGTATGCAGTAAAGTTAGCATAGGAATTTATAACTACATTACTTTCCAAAGTTTTGTTAATTGTATGATACTTATACTTTTTTTTTTTTATAGAAGTTTATGATTTATACATTCATTAGTGATTCTAATTTTTTTATTTTAAAATTGATTTTTTTATGCAAAAAGCTACTTCAAAGTAACAAAATAATTGATCGGAAACTTGAGATTTGAATGAAAATAATTGGGCATTGTTGTTAAACTTGAAATAAAGTAATACTTTTTATTTTCATAAGACAGAATCCGATACTTAAATTCATTCGTTTTATTTCTTCGTTAAGAATACTTTATATTAGATAAAAATTCTCGAGTGTCTTCAACTACTACTTCAAATAGTAAACTATTTTTGCTTGATATTTATGTCACAATTTAACGAGACACTTGACTGAACTCTTTATTAAAGTTACAACAAAGCTTTTATTATTTTCTTAAAGTTTGCCTCAACACCTCAACTGTTATCTTTACCTCCGTTTATTACAAACAATATTTTTTCTCCGTTTTTGTGAGTTTTATTATAGTTATATTTCAACGAAGAAAAAAATATCAGGTAAGTGACATTTAATATTATTTTCGTTCGCTAAACTTATGAATCGTGGTTTGAATTTTTTATTGAAAACCTACTAATTGAAATAATTTATTTTTAAATGATTAATTGATTGTTTGTAAACTTAAAATCTTACCCTAAAAAAAAATTTCGATCCTCTCTAATCTTTTGAATGATATTTTGCAATATATCCTAATTGATTTTGTGGCAGTTAAAATGTTTGTCAAGATTTTTACCTATAATTCTATTTTAAAACCGATTAAAAATTTTGACAGCCTCTTAGAACATTGATGTGTTCTATTGATTTTCATGATTCATGATATATGTGGTATTTGTTTCTACCACAGAATATTGATAAACAAAATAGTTATTCATGCTCTTGGAACAGTTATATACATCCATAAATAAAGTTTGAGTGTTCCAAAATAGGATTGAATATCGATGTTAAAGAATTTGTATATGCGGTTTTCGATAATAGTTTATTGATGTTCATACATATATAAAGAAGCAAAAAGAGGCGAATAACACTCGTGAATATATTTTCAAAATTACGAGAAAGAGAAGCCAAACGCTCTACTGATGTTTTCGAGTTTGAGAGGAATGAAACTTAACTCGTTTAGTTGCCAGAAAAGCTTGGTGACTTATTTCTATGTATCCATAATCATTTTTCTTTTTCTATTCCCTTCCTTCATCGACCGCGAAATTGTCAAGTAGAAAAAGTCGCTTTTTTGCCATCTGTTACCACAGGAAAAAAATTATTTGAAAGAGATGTAAATTTTAACAAATATAAAAGTTTATTAAATTTGAAAATAAAACTTCCTTCCCAGCATATTTTACTATCTGAAAAAAATTTTTATTTTTTTAGGATCAATTTGTTATTCATTGGTTTCACATTTCAATACGTAGACAATATTTTCCATCCTTTTTTTATTAGAATTTTTATGTTGAGCAATTTTTAAAAGTTGTTTTCTTAAAAGTTTCTACTCAGCACATAGTGACTTTTGTTAAATTCGTCAAAGAGTTTCGTTCCACAGTAACGTTTTTCATTGAGCTGGAAAACGACGAAACCACTCTACCGGTTAATGCAAACCTCGAGAGCTCTTGGAATACATAACATCTCTCTTTACTAAACTACAGACGATGTTGTCGTTCTTATCAGTTGGGCCATGCTTTCAGTTTTGGAGACAAATATATCAGTACTCAAGAATATTTGAAACATAAATGAATATGTACATACACGTACCTTCTATTTGTTAAAAAATTCATGCATGTGATTTTTACTGGAAAGCCAAGTTTCATTGTTTTGTTTTATCTATAAATTTCTTCTCAGTATTGATTTTATATAAAAATAATGGCCATCTGATCTTTTTTTTTCTCTCTTTAATCATCTCATCAGTTATTACTATATTATTTTTATAAGACTGTCGCACATATTTTTCATCTCACTAGCATTGATGTTGTAGGTTTTGATATCTCTAACCAGAGGTTCGAGATAAATAAATGGGATTCGAAGAAGGCTGAAATAATGTCAGAATCTAATGAACCTTGTAGAAATGAGATTTTTTTCGTCCCACTGATTCGCATTTATCTGAAATCGTTGTTTTTCGGCTAGCTTGATAGAAAATGAATACTGTACATCTTTTTTTTTTTACTTGTAATAAAAGAGAAAAATCAAATGATTTTTTGGTAAATAGTACAATATTTCAAAATTTAATAACTTGTTTTAGTTTTCAAGTATAGAACTAGCAACCTGCAATCATGAATTATGATTGATGGAACTTTGGATTAATGATTTTTTGATATTTTTAATTGTAATACATTGACTTTAAACTTAATACATCCAATAATTTAACATTACCAAAAAATATGTAAAATCTTAAAAGGGCATAAAATTTTCCTTACTTTTTTTAGTTATTCGCCCCCACGGAAAAAGTATATATTCTGGAATATATTCTGAAATATATTCCAGAATATATCCGAGAATATATTCCGAATATACCCCGTTTTGCCCGAGGAATATATTCCGGAATATATGGGCATGCACTCACTTGTGTTCCGTTTTACTCAAAATTTTTCTCTGGTCTGTCGTTAGATCTATATTCTGATCCATCGTATATATACTGAATATATTCAGGTATATATAATTTTGAAATATATTCCTGGGGCAAACGGATGACTTTATGTATTGAAGTATTCTGACAAGAAGATAGATAATTTGGTAGGTACGCTCAGAATAGCTTCAAAAGTTAATAATAGGCAGCTATGGATGTGACTGATATAATTATACAACTTAGCTATGATAAATCTTGAGCTGAAAATGGTATGAATGTAAGGTATGTCTCATTTGAAATTGCTTGATACGAAATACATTGTCAATAAGCTTAGATATATCTATACGTAGGGATGAGAGGATTAGTTTAACAAGTAGACGTTATGAGACTAAAATATCAAGAACAGGATTCGTTCGAGAGTACATGCTTTGACATTTAATCACCTTCATAGAAGTTTGATTAATTAGTAGAACTATGTAATAGAAATCATAGCGATTCAACTCTTTGTCGGTGGTTAATTGTTAATTACCAATTATCTTTAATCTGAAAGTCAAAGGTTATAACTATTTTAATTATCCATTTTATTTGGACATATATTTGTTCAAAGCGGATGTTTTTCGGATTTTAGAGATTTTCATAAGAGAAAGAAAAGGCCATTTGAAAGCCGGAATGGGAGTAGATATCTCAAACACTGATGTATTTGTGAGTATGTAATTTTTGGTCTAATATGATGAAATTACATGAAAATTGAAGTTTATTTTATCAGCTTTCAGATGCAATTTACATAAATTTGATAAATTATTGTATTCGAAAGTTATTTCAAGAAAGACCTATAAAAATTTAATTTTTTGGAATTTTTGAAAATTTTAAACTATATTTATTTTCTGAATCAGCTTGACGAGCTAAGTCGAGAAATATTAAGATTTTTCAAAAGTTTCATCATTAGCATAAATGAAATTGTTAGATTTTCATAAATCCACTAATAATAAGCTTATAATGAATTAGTTATCTTTGTCAGCAAATGAGTTGAGCTATAAAGCGGCACAAGTGAAATTTTCAAATACTTGCTTTTATTTTTATTTGTAAAAAAGTAATGAGTTGTTGAAAGTATTGTATATTCCACAGTAAAATTATAATATTTAATCATATTCTCACTCGAGGTAGAATATAACTGACAAAAAATGAAAAGTAGCTAGACAAATATTTATTGTTCAATAAAAAAGTTTTTATATTTTACTGAAATAGTGTTTCATCTGAAATATTATATCAG